AAGCAATTTGCCAATTTGATTAATAAAAATGGTATTTTGTCATTGCATAAATTTGTATTTCTTTTTATTATTAGGCAGGTTTAAAAAAAACGATCTTTTTTGGCATTTTGCATTTCTTCTTGTAAATTGCCTGTTTGTTTTTTTGTACATTTTTCCTTGGGTGCCCATCATTTTCTGAAAGATTGGTAAATAGTGGTTGATACAATTTTTGAGCCTTGCTTTCAGATATTATGTCTTGATTTTAGAGAAAACTTCTACATTAATGTTTTCAATTTATAGCAGACAAAGCTCTTTGCCTCTATATGAAGTTCACGTACACAGGGTACCAGTTTAATCCCAGACAATCTTTCAGGAAATTTAATTTACAATATGCTGATGGTCTCTTTGGAGTTTTAAGCTTCATCCCACATTTTTACACATTTACTAGATCATTTAAGGTTTATTTTTCCCCTCTACTTGCCAAGTGAATCATATTTCCTTCATCTTCTTATATTTACAAATGTCTTAGATTTCTCAAAATTCTTCTCTCAGTCTGGTGTCTTTCATTTTGAGACTTGTCACTAGGGAAGGGAGCTAAGAGTATTGGAATGCTCTATAAATCCTGCCAGGCTATTCCTTTCCATCTTCACCTTCCAGAGGTTTGTGGGTGGAGAGCTGAAGATGTCATCAGCTGCCGGAATGTCCCTGGCCAACTGCTGCAAGTTGCAGACACTGCGTGCAGCTTGCTAGAGATCGAAAGACACCACGCTGGCCCTCTTTCAGATTTGTCCAAAAGTTTGTCTTTCTTCTCTTTTTTTTTTTTTTCAAGATTTATTTATTTGAGAGAGAGAGAGAGCACAAGCAGGGAGAACAGCAAAGGGAGAGGGAGAAGCAGACTCCCCGCTGAGCAGGGAGCCCGATGAAGACTCCATCCCAGGACCCTGGGATCATGACCTGAGCCGAAGGCAGACGCTTAACGACTGAGCCACCCAGGCACCCCCCCATATGCATCTTTTTATTTCAAAAGCAATATTTTGAAAAATAGGATAAAATAATCTTACTGACCTAAAATAACTAATTTTAGTTCATGCTCTGTCAATATAGCTCTGTGTGTGTGTGTGTATGTGTGTTTAGGTTGGTTCTAGTTGGTGATGTAGTTGCACTGTGTTACCTGGATACGTCTTGGAGAACCTGAGGTCATCTTGGCCTGATGCATTAATATTTAACAGACCCGAGATTGATGGATTGACGATAACAAAATTAATTCAATCCACCCAGGTTTCTATCTGCTGATAGAACAGCAGGGCTATTCTACAGGCCAGAAAGCAAGGGCTTCTGGAGGAAGCAATTGAAAATAGTTGTGCCCTCTAGAATCTGGAACTGGAGACAGGTTCTTCCATAGGTTTCCTTTTGCCTTTGTTCTCAGACAAATGTCTCATGATTGGCTGCTGAAGGGCCAGGTTGCCACTATCCTTCTTAACTAAAATCTTGAGCTCTCAGTAAATAGAAAGACTAGTAGAGAAAAACCCATTTTGGTTAGGTAATATTGTAGTCTGGAAACTCTGGTCTTAGATAAAGTGTTCAGGCCACATTGCAGAGAATTAATCTGTCAGATAGATTCATTGACTAAATGTTCTGCTGAATCAACTACATTGGTCTGTGTCATTCCCCAGAGACCTTAGGCCCCTGTTCCCCTCTTACTTCTTCACCATTCTCTCTGCCACAGGTGAGTGGGTTTGTAAGCTGCAGATATCTCTTAGATATAAAAACATCAACTCTGGGATATGGGCCAACACCTTAATTGACACTAGCCACATGGTTTTTTGTTTCCATGAAAATGTTTCAGAACACAGACATCTCTCTCATCACAGGGAATAAACCATTAGGAAAAAAATGATCCGCCAACCTGAAAAACAGCTGCAAAGACCTGCAGACAATTAAGCTTATTTCCACCTGATCCAGTCAAATTCTGTGGCAGGCACTTTTCAAGTACATTACTTTATTTGGACCTCAGAGAATAAGAAGTTGTTACAGCTGCCAGGAATTAATTCACTCAGTCACAGGTTGCTGTCCAGCCCCTCACAGCCTCCTCTCTTTCTGAACTCCTCTGCTCTCCCGTTCACTTTAGTTCCTTGCTCTTCCTCAGCAAGCCCACTTGCAACCCCAGAGCCTTTGCATGCACTGCTCCCTCTATCCCCAGAAATCCACATAACTCACTCTCTCACATTCATTAGTGTCTTGACTCAATTATCACTTTCTCAGGTTGGCCTTGTCAAGAAAACTGTTATTGACTCTACTTAAAATTGCACCCCCTGCCCCTCCACGCTCCCTATCCTCCTTTCCTTCTTTATTTTTCTTTATAGCACTTATCACCATCTATGGTGATGACATATATTTTACTTATTCACTTTGTTTACTGGTGGTCTCTCCCCACTGGAAGGTAAATTCCATGAGTAGGGACTTTTGTTTGATCACTGCTCTATCCTCAGTGCCCAAAGAGTACCTGGCACAGAGCAAGCTCAACAAATATGTTTGTTTTTTTTTAAAGATTTTATTTATTTATTTGAGAGAGAGAGAGATTATGAGCAGGGGGGAAGGGTAGAGGGAGAAGCAGACTCCCCACTGAGCAGAGAGCCCGATGTGGGACTTGATTCCAGGACCCTGGGATCATGACCTGAGCCAAAGGCAGATGCTTAACCGACTGAACCACCCAGGCACCCTCAACAAATATATGCTGAATAAATGATTGAAAGGCTACTCAGCCGGTAAATGGTGAAGGTGGAGATTCAGAAGTTAGGTCTCCTAATGTGAAACTTGGCTCTCTTTTCTCAACTCCATGCTGCCTCTGGAAAGAAAAAGATTTTCTTTCAAAAGCTAACACAGGAAAGTGTTAATGAAAGGGAATGTGAAAACCTTGTCAACAATCCTTCCACAATATTTGGTAGGTCTGAGCCTTACTAAAATATCATGAACCAATTGAAGATCTGCAAAGAAAGATGTGGAGAGCTCAGAAAAGCCAAAATAATTGAACAGGTATTTGAGAGAAGGTTAAAAGTTGGGGCTGTTGAAATGGTAAAAGTAAAGGCTAAGGGGATAAAGGGATCAAAATGACTTCAAGCATTTAGAAACTTAAAATGAGATTCCTAAATGACAATTTTTGGTCATTTCTACCAAGGATGCAAGAAGATGAAATGGGCCTTTGTTAAACATGAGAAAGATTTTATTGACTCTAAAAGTGTCTGAACTTGTAAGGTTGTAAAGCCTACTTCATGTTGAACTATAAAAACAAGTAGTTAACACCAGCTATCTGTTCACTCATTCATTCATTCACTTAACAAGCATTCTCTAAAGTGCTTTACTGTGTACCATTGAGGGTTCTAGAACTCTATCTTTGGGCATACAACAGTGAATAAGTAAGACACACAGAGTCTTGTCATGAACTTAGCAAATGTTTTAGATGCTGTATTGGGGCCCATCTAGTGCCAGATTTTTTGTGACCTCCACCAGTTATTAATTCTCTGAGTAGATTAAAAAAATAGAAGTTTTAATTTTTATTTAGTTTCCTGAATTCACAAATCTTTAAAATTCAGAAGGTATGACAGTCTTCATCCCCTGACCCCAGCCAGCAGTTCTCTATCTCAGAAGCAAACAATGATAAGTTTCTTGTGTTTTCAGGGGCACCTGGGGGGCTCAGTTGGAAGAGCATGTGACTCTTGATCTTGGGATTGTGTGTTCAAGCCCCATGTTGGGTGTAGAAATTATTTAAAAAAATTTTTTTTTAAATTTCTTGTGTTTTCAGAAACTATCAGTCTATAGTTTGTGGTCTGTAAGTATACAAGTAAATATGCATATATTTTCTTCCCTTCCCTCTATCCCCTAACTTCCCACCACCTGTTTTTTGACACAGCTGCTAGCCCATTTCACTTTACAATATATCATGGCAATCTTTCCCTATCAGTATAAACATCTTCCTCTTCCTTTCTAGAGGTTACATAGTATTCCATTGTATAGTGGACCATAATTTATTTTACTAGTCTCCATCCGATGGACACTTGTGTCTAATCTTTTGTTAATATATATTGTTAATTAACATTCTTGAAGACACATCATTTTCCACATATGTGAATACCAATAGGATAAATTTCTAGTTACATTGTTGGGCTAAATGGTATGTACATAAGTCATTTTTTTTTTTTACTGTTTTTTTTTTTATTGGGGTAAAATATACATTTAAAATTTACCATCTTAACTATTTTTAAGTGTACACCTCTGTAGCATTAAGTATATTTACACTGCTGTGAATAAACATATGTCATTTTGACAAATATTGCCAAACTGCCCTCTGTGATGATTGCATCTATTCATACTTTCACCAGCATTGTATGAGAGAGGGCTCTTCATGTAGATGGTACTGAAAAAACAGAGTGCCTGTGATTAACTGGGAGATGCTGTAGCAGAGAAGAAAGGGCACAGGTTCTGGAATTTAATCCTGGATCTGATGCTTGCCAGCTGTGTGCTCTTGAGCATTACTTAATTCCTTGGGGTTTTGTTTCCTCATATCTAACACTAATCTCATAGAGGGGTAAGGATTCAAAGGGCCCAGAATAAGGGCCAGGCATATAGCAGGCACTTAATAAATAATGGCCATTAGCTATTATTATGAGTTGGGCCCTTCACCAATCAGTCTGCACGTACAAGTTATTTAACAACTCTGAGAGCTAATTTTCGTATGTGTAAAATGATAGGAGACTGATTACCCTAATTGTTGTCTATTAACTCATAGGAATACTATTTAGTTATTAAATGGTCAAGGTATTTTGAAAGGCAGTGTAGGGTAGTTAAGCATATGGACTCCAAAGCCAGATTGCCTGGGTTGATTCTTGCTGTTGCTACTTACCAGCTGTGTAACCCTGGGCTAGATCCTTGACATCTGTCTTAGTCATTTTGGGCTGCTATAACAAAGTACTATGGACTGGTTGGCTTATAAACAACAGAAATTTATTTCTCACAGTTCTGGAGGCTGGAAGTCCAGGATCAGGGTGCCAGCACAGTCAGATTCTAGTGAGAGTCCTCTTCCAGGTTGCAGACTACTAACTCCTTGTTGTAGCCTCACTTGGTGGGATGAGATCTAGCTAGCTCTCTGGTCTCTTCTTATATGAAGACTAATGCCATTCATGAGTGCTCCACCTCAGATTGGCTGCAAAAGGGAGGGGAGAGAACCTGTTTTATGGTTTTAAAACATGAACTAGATTTTTTGACAATTCTCTCATCAAAAGGTAGATCCCCATCCCCTGAATTTTAACTATCAGAACATGGTGGAAGTGATGTGGACTCAGACCTCAAGAAACTGGTACCTTCTACTTTCTGTCTCACACACTCACTTTTTTTCTTTTTTTAAGATTTATTTATTTATGTGAGAGAGAGAGAGTGGGGGGAGGGGCAGAGGGCGAGAATCTTGAAGCAGACTCCACTCTGAGTGTGGAACCTGACGTGGGGCTCGATCCCATCACCCTGGAGATCATGACCTGAGCTGAAACCAAGAGCTGGATGCTTAACTGAGCAACCCAGGTGCCCCTCACACACTCATTGGTTTTTTTTAGATTTATTTATTTGACAGAGAGAGTGTGCTCACAAGCGGGGGGAGGGGCAGAGGGAGAAGCAGACTCCCCAGTGAGCAGGGAGCCTGACAAGGAACTCGATCCCAGGACCCAGAGATCAGGACCTGAGCCAAAGGCAGATGCTTAACTGACTGAGCCACCCAGGTGTCCCACACACACTCACTCTTGAATGAAGCCACAATGTTTGTCAGAAGTCTAAGTAGCCTGAGGAGAGGTCCATGTGGAGAATAATCAGGGCCTCACTCATAGCCCCAGCTGACAGCCAGTATTAATATGCCAACATGAAGTGGACCTTCTAGTCCCCCAGTTGAGCCAGCCTAACTGATAACACATGGTGCAGAGATGACTTTTCCCTGCTGATTTTTGTCCAAACTGTAGCACTGTGCACAAAATAATGATTGTTGTTAAGTATGGAATTTTGGGGTAGCTTGTTACACAGCAGTAAATAACTCACACAAGGGGGAAACGAATTGAAGGAGAGGATTTGCTTATATATTTGCTTGCTTGTCTTTATGATTGAAGAAACTTGAAAATGATTACATTGAAAAAAACCACCACACTTGGAGGACCTTGCCCTAAGGCCTCTATTTTCGAAGTGAGGTGGGAGGTCCTTCCCATGGGACGATAGGGTTGGGAGCTTGTATCAGTAGTGAAGGGTTAAAATAGTTGTCATGGGGACTAGAAGAAGTTGGGTGGAAAGAAGGTGGCATGAAGGTGGGAACAGGAATGTATAGTAAACAAGTCATCAGGGGAAGGGTCCTGGAGAAGCTGGCCTTTGAGCTGGACGTTGGAGGATGAGTAGGATTTTGGCAGCAAAGGAGAAGTGGGGGAAGAAGAGTTTGAGTAAATAAATAAAGAGAATGGAAATGGATGAGCTTTTTGAGAATCTATGCATTTACTCTTTTAACAATTATTTTTGAACCCCTATTATGTACTAACGGCCAGGTGTTTGTTGCTGAGAGTACAAGTGGTGAGCAAGACACAAAAGACCCTGCCCATGCAAGGCTCACAGTCTAGGGAGATACAAGGAATAAATTGAAAGACTAACACATAAAATTAAGGTAATTAAGAATTGTGATACCTGTGATGAAGGAAACAAAGGGTTGCCATATAGTATTAAAAGAGGATAATCTGGGGCACCTGGGTGGCTGAGTCATTAAGCATCTGCCTTCAGCTCAGGTCATGATCCCAGGGTCCTGGGATCAAGCCCCGCATCGGGCTCCCTGCTCAGCGGGAGCCTGCTTCTCCTTCTCCCACTCCCTCTGCTTGTGTTCCCTCTCTCGTTGTGTCTCTCTCTGTCAAATAAATAAATAAATCTTTAAATAAATAAATAAATAAATAAATAAATAAATAAATAAAAGAGGATAATCTCCTTAGATGTGGTCAGAGAAAGCCTCCAGAGTAAGTGACATTTAAACTGAGCCATGAGGGGCACCTGGGTGGTGCAGTCAGTTAAGCATCCGACTCTTGGTTTCAGCTCAGGTCGTGATCTCAGGGTCCTGAGAACAAGCCCCTCGTCAAGCACTGCACTCAGCATGGAGTCTGTTTTAGATTCTCTCTCTCCCTCTGCCCCTCCCACTCATGCTCACACACACACTCTCTCTCTCTCTAAAATAAATAAATTAATTAAAAAAATAAATAAACTGAGCCATGAATGAAAAGGAGTGTCTGGAAAAGAATGTTCCAGGCAGTGGGAAGGCATGTGCAAAAAGCTGAGGCAAGAGCAAGGTAGATGAGATTGAAGAGAAGGTAGGAAGGGGCCAGATCTTCATGGGGCTTTCCAGGTCTGCTTAGGTACTGATTTTATTCCCAGTGCAATAAGAAGCCACTGAAGATTTTAAGCATGGAACTCAGATTATCCAGTTTACATTTGAAGAAGACCCTGTTTCCAGGGATGCCTGGAGGTGTGGTAGTGAAAACTTATTTTTTAAAAAGGAAGTTTTCATTGATTTTACTTTTTTTTTTCTTTTTCACTAGAGAGGGTTTTGTTGTTGTTAAACCTGAGTTTTAAAGCCAGGTCCTAACCATGTGGGGATTAAAAAAAATAAAATCAATGAAAACTTATTTACTTTATGTTTCATAATTTGAGGTACCCTGGAGTGCTTTGGCATTGATGTCACGTTGCTTCAGAGATATAATATGACATATGAAATCAGAGAATATTGACCCAGATGTACAGATGTCTTAAATATTCAATATTTAAGGAGAAAATACATTATTTATAATTGTACCACAGGAAAGAAAGAAAGACAAAATTCTTAGGAATAAACTGAACAAGAAATGTACAGGACTGGGGCGTGGGGCTCAGCTGGTTAAGCATCTACCTTCAGCTCAGGTCATGATCCCAGAGTCCCGGGATCGAGCTCCCGATGGGGCTCCCTGCTCAGAGGGGAGCCTGCTTCTCCCTCTCCTCCCCATGCTCTCTCACTATCTCTGTCTCTCTCTCTCAAATAAATAAAATCTTAAACAAAAAATGTATAGGATCTATTTGAATAAAAGTTTAAAACAATTCTGAGAGAATCAAAAGGCTTTACAGAGGGTGCCTGGGTGTCTCAGTTGGTTATGCGTCTTCCTTTGGCTCCAGTCGTGATCCCGGGGTCCTGGAATCAAGTCCCACATCCAGCTCCCTGCTCCGCGGTGAGCCTGCTTCTCCCTCTGCTTCTGCCTCTCTCTCTATCTCTGTCTCTCATGAATAAATAAAGTCTTAAAAAAAAAAAAAAGGTTTTACAGATAGGACTGCCATGTTCTTGGAATGAAGACTCAACATCATAAAGATATCAATTCTCACTAAATTAATCTAAAAAATATTTACCACAATCCCAATAAAAATACCAAAAGGATTATTTTTCTGGGAACTTGACAAGCTGATTCTAAAGTTCATATGGAAAAATAAACAAGCAAGAATAGCCAGGAAAATTCTGAACAGGAAGGATATTGAGGGGAGACTGTCTTACTAGATGTTAAACCATATTATTAGGCTTCAGTAATTCAATCTGTGGCACTAGTGCCCGTACAGACATATAGATCAAAGGATAAAAACAGCAAGTAGAGGAATAGGCTCAAATACATAGAGAAATTTAATATATGCTAAAGTAACATTTGTAAATTGGGGAAAATATGGATTGTTCAACAATGATTTTAGGACCACTGGGTAGATATCTAGAAAAAAGTAAAATGGATCCCAATTTAACCTTTTAGAATCTGTTTTTTATTTTTAGATTAAACTCTACGCCCAACATGAGGCTTGAACTCATGACCCAAGATCAAGAGTTGCTTGCTCTACTGACTGAAGCAGCCATGTGTCCCCCAATTTAACTTTTTTAATATCAGAGTAAGTTCCAGTTGGATTGAAGATTTAAATATAAAAAAATAAAACCATGGAAGTACTGGAGCAAACTATGTGAGATATTCTGGTATAGCCTCCTGGGGGGAAAGGCCTTTCTTGTTTTTGTTTGTTTTTTGTTTTTTTTACAGATTTTATTTATTTATTTCACAGAGAGATAGCAATAGCAGGAACACAAGCAGAGGGAGTGGGAGAGGGAGAAGAAGGCTTCCCGCCGAGCAGGGAGCTGATGTGGGGCTCGATCCCAGGACCCCAGGATCATGACCTGAGCCGAAGGCAGACGCTTAACGACTGAGCCACCCAGGCACCCCCGGAAAGGCCTTTCTAATGAAGACATAAACCCAGAATCTCTGAAAAAGTTAATACATGTGATAATGTGAAAATAAAAATATGCTGCATGGTCTGTAGAGCATGCGACTCTTGATCACAGGGTCATGAGTTCAAGCCCCATGTTGGACATGGAGCCTACTTAAAAGTAAATATGCTACATGATAAAAAGTAAAAAACAGAGTCAATGACCAACAACAAACTGGGAAAAAGGTGTGTGATGCATTGCATGAAGGTTAATTTCTTTGATATGTAAAAACTCCCACAGGGGCGTCTGGGTGGCTCAGTTGTTAGAAGTCTGCCTTCGGCTCAGGTCATGATCCCAGGGTCCTGGGATCGAGCCCCGCATCGGGCTCCCTGCTCGGTGGGAAGCCTGCTTCTCCCTCTCCCACTCCCCCTGTTTGTGTTCCTGCTCTCGCTATCTCTCTGTGAAATAAATAAATAAAATCTAAAAAAAACCAACCAACCAACAAACAAAAACAAGAAAGGCTTGTGTTCCCTCTCTTGCTGTGTCTCTGTCAAATAAATAAAATCTTTAAAAAAATAAAAAAATAGAAAAAAACTCCCACAAATCCATCATCAAAAGACCAAAAGACCTGGTGTTAGACAAAAGCTATAAAAGGGCAAAGGATATAAAAATGTAGCTCACAGAAAAGGCAATACAAATCATGCTTGCACAAATGAAAATATGCACTCATTCTTAAGAGAAATGGAAATTAAAATCAAAATTACAAATGCAAATGTCCATTGACCCATCAATTTGCCTTCTGGGAATTTAGCCTACAAATGCTAGCACATGTAGGAAATTGCACAAGTACAAGATTACTTAACTGACAGCATTACTTGTAAGAGCAAGTCAATTATGGTACAATGTGCAATAGAATACTATTGAACTGTTGTTACAAAAGA